CTTCCATGGATATTGCAGGGGTCCTGTGTCTAACTTGGGGGGGGAAGAAGGGGGGAGTGTGAAGTGGAGTTGCCCAGGGACCTGTCCTTGGTCTGGGGCTGTTTTAATTTCTCCATTAATGATTTGGAGAATGAGATTTGAGGGTGCACATAACAAAGTTTCAGACACTTTGGAGGCTAGAATTAAGATTCAGAATTACTTTGATAAACTGGAGAAATGGTCTGAAATTAATCCTACTAGTTTCATTAAGGGCAAGTGTATGGTTCTGTACTTGTGCATGCTCTTGTTCCAGTCCAAATACAGCCTAGGGAAATGAACAGCTATGCAGCAGTACTTCGTAAAGGACCTACGGTTTAGAGTAGATCAGGAGCTTATTATGAGACAATGTGTGTGTTCCTGTTTCAAAATAAGAATAAAAAAACCAGTAGCATGCAGAGCTGTATTTATAGGAGTGTCACTTGCAAATTAAGGGAAGTCATTCTTTTGCTCTTTTCAGCTCTTTTGCTCTAGTTTTGGAAACTGCACTTCAAGAAATATGTGAATAAGTTGGAAAGAGTTCATCAGAGAGTAGCAAAACTGATTTGAGATTGAGGAACCATGACATATAACAGGGGTGGGCAAAATATGGCCCAGAGGCTGGATCCAGCCCACCAAAGGTTTTTATGCAGCCCTCAGCAGGTCCCTTGGCTCTGCCCATCCCAGGTGTGGGGGGCAGCCTGGGCTGTAGTGTGTATGGCTAGTCCCACCACTCCTGGGTGTGCAGTGGGGCTGAAGCGGTGCAGCAGTTGGACTTGCTTCTTGGCAGCCCTGGCAGTGGCATTTCCTTCCTGCCACCACTGCCAGTCTCTGCCATTGCCACTGGACCTGCCACTACTTCCTGCTGGCAGTCTCCATGACTGCTGCTGCCCATGTACCATGGCGTGTCTGCCCTGCACCTTCTGCTATGGGCAGGGGAATGCAGGGAGCAGATCATGGCTCTGCCCTGAGTCCCAGTCCCACGCTGCTGTGGCCCCAAGATCCCGATCCCTATTATAGAATCATAGAAATTTAGGAAGGGACCTCAGGAGGTCATCTAGCCCAACCCCCTGCTCAAAGCAGGACTATCCTCAGCTAGATCATCCCAGCCAGAGCTTTGTCTAGCCAGGTCTTAGAAAACCTCCAAGGATGGAGCTTCCACCACCTCTCTGGGTAACCTGTTCCAGTGTTTTACAACCCTCCCAGACCCATCTGTGCCCATCCTGCTTCCAGCCTACCCATGGCCCCATCCCATCCATCTGGCCATGTGCCATGCCTGCACTGTCACTGCCCTGCCATTCTATTCCCCACCTGCCTACAGTCCCATCCCATCTACCTGGTTGAGCATGCAGCAGAGCCATTTAGGGAGATTTGGCGAGCTGTAGTGGAGTGGGTATGAAGGGAGTGCTGATCTGGCAAGGTAGTAGTTG